GCTGATTTGGTCCTTAGCTTCTTCTAGTCTCCCATTAAAAACTTCCATTGTGTTATTTGTTGAATCTATGTCATTCCTCATTTCCCCTCGATTCTTACACATGTTGGTGAATTTCTCATCAGGACGTTTCAGCATCCTTATAACCATTACTTTGAACTATTTCTCTGACAAACTGCTTGCATCCATTTCATTTAGTTCCTTTTCCAGTGATTCCTCCTTGACTTTCATTTGGGGGTTGTTTCTTTGGCTCCATATTTTTTCTGTTCTCTTATAATTAATTCTATGCATTAATCAAACTGCTGTGCCACCCATACTGATGTACTAGATGTTTTGTAGTACCCAGTGAGGCAGTCTTTCAGGTCATCAGGGCTGGGTATTCGAGGGAGGCATCCTACTTGAAACATTTGGGTTATTCTCATGCAATTAGGTCTTGAATGTTATTGTCCATTTCATAAATGGAGTCTCCTCTTAGGGTGTCTTATTATGTGGCTTGCTCATTACAACATTGTGCTAATGGATGTGGAGGCACTGAGCCAAATGCACAAAACACAACAGGATAAGACACAACACAGAAGGAACAGAACGCGAATGTACTCAAGACACCTATAACCCTGACAAAAGTGACCACCATAGAAAAGATAATAAGCAAAGAGAAAAGACAGCAAGAATGATAGGAAGGATTAAAGAAAGAAAGAAAGAAAGAAAGATAAAATACCGGGGAAGAAAACACAACAAAACAAACAAACCAAAAGGCATAAACAAGAAACACCCAGAAAAAATAGGGGTGGCAGAATCTGTAGCTTAAATAAAGAAAATAAGATTAAGGAGTTGGATAAATAGGTGAAGGACCACAGTTTAGAACAGAGGATGGAGAAAAGAAATGAGAAGGTAAAAAGAAAATTTAAAAAAAATAAAATGAAATAAATTATTTTGCAAAGGAGATTAGAGGCGACATCAGGAAGCCCTAAATTTAAGAAGTGAAACAAGTTAAAAAATTAGGAGAAGAAACGAGCAAGACAAGAGAGAAAAAATAAAAAGCATAGTAAAGAAAAAGAAAAGAGAAGGGGAAATGGAGTAGGATCAGGGAAGAGGAAATTAGATATGTGAATAAACTAACAGAGACTAAAATAATAACACATCAATAAAGCAGGTAAAGTAGATCCATTTTTAAAAAAAGAAAAAAGAAAGGAAATAGAAAAACTAAAATGGCTAAAAGACATGAAAAACGGGAATAAGAGAAGTGAGAAAGAAAAAGGTTCCAAAAAATAAGATGAAAGTAAAAACAATAATAAACATTTTAAAATAATAAAAATAAAAAAGTGCCCGAAACCGGTTTGGCTCAGTGGATAGAGCGTCAGCCTGCGGACTGAAAGGTCCCAGCTTCGATTCCGGTCAAGGGCATGTACCTGGGTTGCGGGCACATCCCCAGTAGGAGATGTGCAGGAGGCAGCTGATCGATGTTTCTCTCTCATCGATGTTTCTAACTCTCTATCTCTCTCCCTTCCTCTCTGTAAAAAAATCAATAAAATATATTTTAAAAAATAAAATAAAATAAAATAAAAAAGCGAAGTGTCATTCACTTCAGCTGAGTAGTAATGCCTCATGGCTGGTGGTGTAGGACCCCACTCTTCTGTCAGCTAATTCTGGGCTTCCTGTTAGGTACTGAGGTGCTGGACACTGTCAGTCACTGCCTTTTGGCTTTGAACTCCCTGCTTGAAGCTCCAAGTGATCCACAGGTTCTCTGCTTGTGTCCGTCTCCAAAGGTTTTGGGTTGAAACAAGCAGGGTCAATCTGCCCTCTTTTCCTGTCTTCTGGCTGTCAGTCTTAAATCATTCAAGCATCCGTTTGTGGCAGGGCTTTAGGTGGGAATGGGGCTGTTTCTCTTTCAGGCAATAAGATCAGTGTTTTCTCCCTGACCCAGAGTTGCTCCTCCATGTGTGTCCCAAAATATTACTCTGGTCTTGGTTGATCATAAGTCCTTATATGGAGACCAGTCAGGTTAGCTGGCAACTTGGAGTTTTTATCAGTCTGATTCCCTGAATAGCAGGGTGGACCAGCCCCTCTCCCAATCCAGTCACTGAGGGCTCTTTGGGACTATTCAAACCCATAAGCTTGGTCTCTGCCTTTGTTTCCTCTGTAAAGCTCAAAATGCAGTATGGCATGCAGTATCTCCTGCCCTGAACCTACTGGGAGGGGCTAGCTCTCCTGGGGATAAATGGCTGCTTAGGTTTGGAAGCTAAGAATGTCACACTTCTAGCAATATATCCCAAGAAATCAGAAACACCAAGATATATGCACCCCTATGTTCACAGCAGCACAATCGTAGTTATAATAGCTACGATTTGGAAACAGCCTAAATGCCCATCAGCACATGAATTAAAAAAAAAAAAAAAAAACACCTGTGGTACATCTACACAATGGAATACTACACTATGGTAAAAAAGAAGGAACTCTTACCATTTGCAACAGCAGGAATGGAACTACAGAGCATTATGCTAAGGGAAATAAGGCCGTCAGAGAAAGATAAATATCATATGATCTCACTCATTTGTGGTTTATAATGTAAAACATAAACTGATGAATAAAAATAGAGCCAGCATCATAGAAGCATTGAACAGACCATCCAAACTAAGAGGGAAGGCAGGGAAGGGGAAAGGGGTAAAAGATCAACCGAAGGACTTGCATGCTTGCATATGAGCATAACCATTGGACATAGTAAGGGGGTGAGGGCATGTGCTGGGGGGTAGGGGCAGCCAGGGAGAGGTCAGTGGGGGAAAAGGGAGACTTATGTGATAATTTTAAAAAATAAAGAATTTTTTACAAAAGGATTTCCCAATGCAGGACTCTTGTCCACATCTCTCCCCCCAGCTTTCCTCCTAGCCTCTCCTCACGCACCTCAAGTCTGTGCCTCTCTCTCTGCTCCAAAGCCCCGAGTGAGTGTTTGCAACAGAAAAGTCCTGTGTCTGGGTTTAGAGAATAAAAACAAAGACAAAACCAAACCAAAACAATGAAACTGCTCTTTGGTCTCTCCCCAGCACCGCGCTGCTTGGGCCTCCTTTCACGGGGCAGCCTTTTGGGGCTTTTGTCTTTGGTCCAGTTTCCCTGGCAGCCAGCTGTCCTGTGGCTTTTCCTTACACAGTTGGGTGTTACCCACGTCATGAAGGGACGCAGCTTTGGAGCAACACAGGTTTCTCCTCACCCTCTGGGCCCACTGGCTGGCAGTCCTTCTCAAGCCCACTTCCCAGTTCTTGCCGTCCTCTAGGCGTCCTCTGCCCTTCCTTGTTGTACACTGTCTGCTCAGCTGCATGTAATTGTTAATACCAGGCGGATGTTCTTCAATTTAATTGTATTTCCAGTCTGGCTCAGGACGAGATGCACAAACCTGTGCCTATTCGACCACCTTTTATTTTATTTTAATTTTTTTTTACCACTTTCTGATCTTTGCTGTTAAAAACAGCCAGAGTGACCTCCTTACAATTCTCAAATGCACAGGGCATGCTCCCTGCAGGCACCCACCTGGAGCCTGCCACCCCTTCCCAGACTTCCTCAGTGAAGACCCCACTGACAAATGCTGGTTTCACCTTTCCCCATACCTGCTGTCACCTGTCTCAGGTATCCTGGTCCACTTTTTTTGTGGACTGTCCTCCACTAGATGCCAGTTCCCAAGGACAGGGGACTCTGTATTTGGGGCGTCTGAAACAGCTGGACTCAACAGTATCCACAGCCTCAATCTTTATATGTGTCCCCCATGCCCACCCATGGCTACTGACCCTCCATCCAGCCTGATTCAAGTTCTTATCCCTACAGCCTTCCCTCAGCCCACACACTCAAGGAACCTGGCCCATGAGCTGGCAGAAACACGGGTCACAGGCACACAACCTCTCTGCCCCCTCAAACACACCCCAGCAACACACTATTCCCCAGAATCCAGGAACTATCCCCTCATTTCAGGTCTTCCATGCACAGGCAAAACTTAGGGAGGGGCACGCCAACCACAACTCATCCTCTGAATGTGGAATTATTATGGAGACCAAGCCTCTCCTGGAAATGCTGGTATTGCAGAATGTTCTCACCATTGAAAATATACACCATATCCTGGAGAGCCCATGCTACTTCCAGGACTGGCTGTGCAATGGGGTGGGAGAGTGGCATGCTTTCTTTTTAAAAAATTAAAGTGTAAAATAATCCCTAAAATGAAAAAAAGAGACTCAAACACCAGTGGGCCTCAGAGGTGTGAGTGGGTTGGCTGGAGGCAGGATTTTCTAAAGGTGAACTGATTTGGAGGCCCAAAGCATCAGGTGGATTCTCCCACAGTAGGTTCATTTGCAGCAGGCCAGGTGCCTGGGGGTGGGGAAGAGCAGGCTGGAGGGACCACTGGAATGGAGACAGAAGAGCCCTGGCCAGCACATCTCTGGCAGACACAGAACCCAAATCCCTCCCAGGGCCTTGCCTGGGCCTCCTCTCTGCCACACCCTGGGAAGGGCACAGTGAGCCCAGCTGCAGTGGGAACATCCCAGGAAAGGGCAGGAAAGAGCGAGCAAAGGAGGGCGGTGCAGGCAGAGGCCCCATCTCAGGGCACCAGAGTGAATGCTTGGGTTTTTTTTTGGTAATCCTCATCTGAGGATATTTTTCCATTGATTTTTAGACAGAGTGCAAGGGAAGGGGGACAAAAAGAGAGAGATTGAGAGAAAAAAAAATTAGATGTCTCCTACATAGCCCCATAGGGGCAAGATCAAATCTGCAGATTAAAACCACAGAGTCACAGTCTTTATTTCAAGGCCTTGAGCAGCAATGCAATATGACTAATATTGGTCAAGGAATTATTTTCTTGCATTATGCTATCCCTCCTAAAGCACAGAAAGTTTGGATCCACACAATATCTGTTAACTCTACATGATGATAGATCACAATTGTGCTTGAAAATCATCCCTGGAAATGAATATAACAAATTAAAGGTACAAACAAAAAAACACTTTTACTGAAAGATTATAAACCAGAACAGAGGACAGCAAGTGGTTTGCAGGTTGCTGAATTAGAACCTGAAACAATTCATCACAGCTTAATGTGAGAACCACATGTCCCTGACAGAGGCAGCACTTCTTAGCTGAGGATGGGTGCCCTTGATGACCCTGGGTCAGGTGTATTACCTCCTCAGAGATAAAGGAATGAAGATCCTGTCAGGAGCTGGAGTTATCATAATGTTGTCAAGCACAACTGAGAACACAGAATACATTTCCCCTGATGCCACAGAGGTTGGGACTGATACACAGTCTTCAGGTGAGCCAGGTGGTAGAGGTGAAATCTCTTCAGCCACAAATCAATCAGGTATTAGTTCTGGGCATCTTACCAAGTGCAATGCACCTCCTTCAAGCCTCACTTGTACCAGAAACTTAGGAGGAATCTAGCAGAGTGTATGTTCCATTAAAAAGGGGTTTAAATTCAGGAAAATAGGTCCCAAAGAGTCGCCATCAGTGTTGTTATTCTAAGTGAATAAAATAAAACATTCCCCACACATTTAAAACTTCTCTCCAGTGTGAACTCTCAGATGTTTAATAAGACTATTTTTTTGGGGTAAAAGACTTTCCACATTCAGTACATTCATATGGCTTCCCTCCATTGTGAATTCTGAGGTGATCAGTGAGGTGAGCCCTTCGACGAAAGGACATCCCACATTCTCTACACTCATATGGCTTCTCTCCAGTGTGAACAGTCTGGTGTTCAATGAGGTGATACCTTCGAGGAAAGGATATCCCACATTCTCTACACTCATACAACTTTTCTCCAGTGTGAACTCTGAGGTGTCTAGCAAGGTTAGCCCTTAGACAAAAGGACTTTCCACATTCTGTACACTCATATGGCTTCTCTCCAATGTGAACTCTGAGGTGTACATTGAAGTGAGGCCTTTGACTAAAGGATACCCCACATTCTCTACACTTATATGGCCTTTCTCCTATGTGAACTTTGTTGTGTTGTTTGAGGGTAAACTCATAACTGAAAAACTTCCCACAATGTCTGCACTCATATGGCTTCTCGCCAGTGTGAAATCTCTGGAGTTTAATGAGTGCACGTCTTTTTCTGAAGAACTTCCCACATTCATTACACTCATACGGCTTTTTTCCAGTGTGAACTCTCTTATGTCGAATGACATTCAAGTTTCGTATAAACACTTTCCTACATTTGTTACACTCACAAATCAGTTCTGCAGAACACATACCATGACACTGAACAACTTTCAGGTTGTGGCTGGCAGCGTTTTCACATTCACCCGACTGCTGATGACGTTTTCCACTGAGAAATTCCTGTGAAATCTCACTGCCACAGTGGAGCTCCTCAGTGTTGAGAGTGGCCTGGTGCTGGGGAAGCTCTGAGTTATACTGCAAGTCTTCCCCAACCTCCCTGCTGGTTGAAGGCACCAAAGATAAGGAGAAGCTGCACCTGCTCACAAAGGAGGCCCTGTCCATAGCTTCTTTCCAGGGCTCCTCTCCACATTCATTCCTCTGTTGTTGGTGAGGGTTTGCACTGAAACAGAAGTCTCCAACACATGCGTCACTACAGAAGGCTTTCTGCTCAAAGTATGCTGCATGTGAACCAGTCAGATGTAAAATATCTTTTAACACAGAGAAACACCGCTTACACAGAGGAATCTTCTGGGTGGCTGGAGCTGTCTTAGAAGCCCTGACCTGTGACTCTTCTTGTATAGATACACTCTGAATAGAACAGGCCTCCTCATCTTCCATTTTATGCCAACAACCTGAAAAGTGAGGAAATGAATGTTGAATGTGTGACAGGGGAAGTCCCATTGCAAAAGTGTGTTACACATCACATGCTGCTCCCATGAAAATGTCTGAAAATAAGTGATGTGAAGGAAGGATTAATAAGAGGCTCTCGTGACTTTCTGGGCTAATAAAGATCACAACACAGGGAGGCCTCACCAGAAATATGACACAAACATGGCAAGCACCACATGGAATAGAATATGGATCTCCAGCTAATACTTCAACTAACAGCATTCAGCATGGCTTGTCTGCTGGGAACCAGGGCGAGCTGTGCAAGAGGTTGGTTCTCTCTTACTCCAAGTAAACTCAATAACGGAGTAGCTGGTTTTGAGCATGTATGTGCACTTCATAACACATGTGCAAGTCAATGTTGTAGAATACTGCAGAGGCACTGACGCAGAGGAACAGGTGATACAGAAATGAGCAGTCACCACTGGGCCAGAGCAATACAGCTTGCTATAGTATTCAGGGAAGAAAATATTACAAACATTCGAATGGGGGCCTTACAAGAACAGCCAATGGTTCATGTAGGTAAAGACGATAACATGGCACAGGTTGCCACAAAGAACCTTTACCCAGAGAAAGAAGGCAGAAGTGGAAGCCATGCTTGTGGACACTGTCAGCCTCCCATGAAGAGAAAATACAAGCTGGGACCCATTAAGCTCACTGCCAGACTCTGGACTCCCTAACACTTCCTGCACTTTTTGAGGTTACAGGTGTTAGGGATGTTTGTGGAGTCCTTTGCTCAGGGATCACCTTCCAGCTCATCCCTGGCAGCCACTGCACATTTGACAGGAAAGTGGAGGAAATTAGCAGAGGCCATGTTCTGGCTGTGGGAGAGAGAAAGCTATGGCTGAGGAATAAAGGAAGAGAGGTCATCATCTGAGGACACTGGGAGAATGTGAAGGTCTTACCTAGAGATGATACAAGTGCAAACACTTCCAGCATCACATCGCGGTATAGAAGTCTCTGAGCCTCATCAAGGAGCCCCCACTCCTCCTGAGAGAAGGCAATGGCCACGTCCTCAAAGTTCATATCCTGGCATAATGGGGACAGTAGAGCCCATGATCAGATTCACTCCTAAGATTATAAATCTGTCATAATCCCCACCCTCCACACCCATCTGCTCTTCACATCAGATTAAATACCAGGCCTTCATCCCATGAAAGCCACTGTCTTATTTTCCTGCTGATATTTTTCTTCCCACAACAATTAAGGCAGTTGAGCAGATAGACAATACCTGAGCTCTGGACCTCCCATGTATACCACACTGCCTCTTATCAATAGAGTGGGTGTCAAAAGCATAGGTTAGAGAAGGATGTTAGCAATAAAGAGAGTGTGAGTGATTTGATACTGATCTTCTCAGGAATTAGCCTTATAGTCCCTCTGATTTTTCCTCTAAGACACCAAAAACATGGCATCACACTTCACCCTCTTGACCCCAATCCCAAAGTGCTGAGGCCATCACTTTTCACAATCTGCTGCACATAGTTCTTTGAACAATTCTCTCACACAGCTTCATTCCCAGAGGCACAACTTTAAACGTACTGCAAACATGCGGAGGCGTGGATGAATTTTATCCCAATCACCTTCTTTTCCAAAATTATAGTTCACCACCTCCAAAATCTCATTCTCTCTTACCCTTCTTCCTTACCCATGCCAGTGGAGATTTACAAACCTGGGTAACACTGATGAATGCTACCTCATTCCCATCAACTGTGACTCAATCTCAACAACAAAAGGCAGGTGGTTATTTAAATGGCACCTAAGCTCTTAACCTAGAATGTAGCACCCATACCCCTCCTCTTTACAGGCAATTACCCTAAAATTCACCTTATTGTTACATCCAGGGACCACCAGAAATAGACTCTTCCTTCATTCACTCTTATGTCAATGTCATGGCTCTGAGGCCATGAATTCACTTCCCTCTCCAAGTGAACATCAGTCTTTCTACCACACCTCACTCACACCTGCACTTCCACAGCCCCAGCCCCCATATTCATCTCCTGGCCTTTTACTTATTACTCAGCACATGTTGTCCAGAGGACGGCTGCCAAATTGAATCACAATCAAATACTGCCCAGACTCTGATAGTACACACTCATAGAGGCAGCCCTGAGTCCTGCTATGTAGGCCTCTCTCCATGACTGTTTTTGTTTGTTTGTTTTGGCTTCAACCACAACTATTAAAACAACAATCAGATCTCAGATATTCATAGCCCATCTCCTGTTATGCTGCACTTGATGTCCCTTCACAAACCACAACCTTTATCTCTCACTTAACCTTCACTCAAGGCCCAGCCCCGATGGCCCTCTGCACCATGCCCAGTGAGTCTCACAGATGACCACTCAAGCCTCTTAGCTAATCCACAAGACTGACTGCAAATACCCACAGCCAGGTCACAACAAGGGTCACAACAAAATCCTGGTAAGAGTTTAGAAAAGTTTTGTACCAGCCCTAGTCTCATGTTATTTGAATTACTCTTCAGCCTCCAATTAACCTCAGGTCCACTCATCTTTTAAAGGCCTTGGCCACTGCAAAATGACTACCTCTCCCCCACACTCTACATGACAACTTCTGTCCCTACGCTGTGTTGTGACACCCACCTCCCACAAACAGTGGCCCCAGCAAGAAAGCCAGTCCTTATGCTCACACTGTCCCTTCTGAGCTACCAACCTGACCATGATTCCCTGTATTAAAGTGATGTACAGTCCTGGCTGATGTGTCTCAGTTGATTGATCATAGACCCATGCACTGGTAACTTCACATGCCTAAGTTGTGGGCTAGATCCACAGTAGAGATTGTGGAGGTGGCAACCAATCCTTGTTTCTTGCTCCTTCCTGTTTCCCTCTCTCCCTCTCCCTTCCTTTCTACATCTAATATCAATAAAAATAAATATGTATTTTAAAAAATCTATCTATGGGTTTCTGAATCAGCTCACTCTTCACTCCAAGTCTGCACATTCTGGAACCTATGTCTGGAGGACCTCGCACACATTACAATGGTTGCCAAATACAAGGTCCACTACATGAAGCCCTAGTCATGACCTTAGGAGTCTGGGATTAGTGTCTGTTCACAGTCCCCAGGTCCAAGGGATACAAGAGCAGCGGGACAGCCCCAGGACACAACTATCTCAGAGGCCACAAGAGTGTGAAGCCCTGAAATTATCTTCACCGTCCAGTACACCCAACTCATTCTGCATTTGTAGGAATTCGTGTAAAGAAAATGGTCTGTTGAGAGCCTGGCAACCACCAGGCTCTAAGGCAGTGGTTCTCAACCTTGGCTGCATGTTAGAATCACCTGGGAACCTTTTTAAAATCCTGATTTCTGGGCCTCATCCTCCGGAAATTCTGTTTCTTTGTTATGGGGTGGGGCCACAACATTAGTAACAAAGAAACAGAATTTCCGGAGGATGAGGCCCAGAAATCAGGATTTTAAAAAGATTCCCAGGTGATTCTAATGTGCAGCCAACATTGAGAACCATGGCTCTAAGGGTCAGGCTGCTCAGTGCTCTTGCCCAGCCCAGAGGTGCCCTCCAGATGCCTGTGTTATCTCAGGGCTCAGTCCTCAGGGCTCACTCTTGTCAGTTACCTGACCATTTACAGGACGTCACCTTCCTGTCCTCTGTCTTCTAGGCTGTCCTTCCTCTGAGCAATGTCAGGAAAAGTTAGAACCCTACCCCACAAAATGTCCCTCCTTTTTTCACAACCATCTATGCTCCCAGCGTTCTGAAAGTGAAAGTAAACCTCCTCGTGCAAAACCACACCTCATCTCTTTGTTGACTTTCCAGCGGTTCTCAACCCGTGGGTCACACCCCTTTGGGGGGTCAAACGACCCTTTCACAGGGGTCGCCTAAGACCATCGGAAAACACACATATAATTCCATATTTTTGTGATTAATCATGATGCTTTAATTATGTTCAATTTGTAAGAATGAAATTGGGGGTCACCACAACATGAGGAACTGTATTAAAGGGTCGCGGCATTAGGAAGGTTGAGAACCACTGCTTTACACCCAAAACAGGCCCGGGTTTCCGAATTCTCCCAGTTCAGTCGCACCATCACGTCCTTACAAGGTGGCACTGCAGCCTTTCACCCTCTCCCCGCGTCAGCCATGTGTCACCCACGAGGGACTCACCATTCTGAGCGCTGGGACCTGGGCGGCGGGACCTGAGAGGCCGGTCCCCAAGGCTGGAGGGTGAAATGGGGTCAGGCTGCGGGGACGCTGTGAGCAGAGAGGAGTCCGGGAGGCACGGGGACCCCAATCTCAGGCTGTTGGGGCTCAAGGAGCCTCAGACACACCCCGCACGGCAGGCGCGCTGCCTCCCAGGCTTCCTCCTACTCACAGCCAGTGCGCCCTGAAGCCTGGGGGTCTGTGAACAAAAGACCTAAAAAGCTAAAATGACCCACGGAAAGAGGAAGGCGGAAATCCCGCCCTAACTGGATGCGCAGACAGCAAAATGCCCTTTAGCTCTGCCCACACGTGTGTAGTTCCTTCTGGGTAATGTAGTTTTCTCAACCGCCCAGGGGAGTACTGGCATCCCAGCCAATGACTTCGCCTAATTTAAGTGAATAAAGGTGTTGTGGCCCAGCAAGTGACGCCTGCGGGAGGGACTAGATGGGACCAGAGGCCTGGCTAACTGGAGCAGACTGACAGATCTCTGAGGGGAAGAAGGTGGGAGGAATGCAAGAGATCCACCAAAGAATATATACAGAGGGGGGAAATGGGAGACATCAATAATACTATCAACAATAAAAAATATATGTATTGCCCTAGCCGGCTTGGCTCAGTGGATAGAGCATCAGCCTGCAGACTGAAGGGTCCCAGGTTCGATTCCGGCCCAGGGCACATGCCTGGGTTTCGGGCTCGTTCCCCAGTAGTGGGTGTGCAGGAGGCAGCCAATCAATGATTCTCTCTCATCATTGATGTTTCTATCTCTCCTTTTCCCTTCCTTTCTGAAATCAACAAAAAAATATATATTTAAAAATGTATATATATGTATTTTCGTAAATTTTAAAATAATGTAGCCCAGTTGGTGTAGCTCAGTGGTTGAGCCTTGGCCTGTGAACCAGGAGGTTATGGTTCTTTGGTTGATCCCTTAACCCCTCCCTCCCCTGACTTCCCTCTGAAGTTTGACAGTCTGTTTGACGCTTATGTTTCTGAATCTATTTTTTGTTCATCAATTTATGCTATTATATTCTACAAATGATGAGGTCATGTGATACTGTTTCTTTTTCTGTTCAGGGCACATACATGGTTTGCAGGCTCAGTTCCCAGTGTGGGGGTGGAGTCATGCATGAGGCAACTAATCAGCAATTCTCTCTCATCATTGATGTTTTTATCTCTCCCTCTCCCTTCCACTCTCTAAAATCAACAAAAATATTTTAAACAAAGTATATACATACATATATATATATATATATATAGGCCATGGGCATAGACAATAATGTAGTGAGGGACTAGAAGCAGAGGGGGCAGGGTAGAGGGAGAAAAGCTGGGTGGGAGGAGTATGGCAGAAATTGGGAACATCTGTAATAGAGTCAGCAATCCTATATAATAAAGAGCTAATATGCAAATGGTCATCATGCCCTTGAGCCCTTGTGCCCTCACGCCGGGCCCAGGGTACCTGAGGCCGTGCCCATTGCCCCAGCACCAGGTCCGGGGGACCTGAGGACAGGCTGGGGGACCTACACCGTGCCTCCTGCCTCTGGCGTCAGGGCTGGGAGATCTGAGGCCAGGGCCAAGGGACCTGAGGTTGCGCTGCCCCCCCTGGCGCGGGGGCCAGAGGACCTGAGGCTGGACTGGGGGACTAAGGGCGCACCCCCTCTGGCACTGGGTTTGGGGGACCTGAGGCTAGGTCAGGGTACCTGAGGCCAAGCCCCAGCCCTGGCACGGCTTGACAGGGGACCTGAGGCTGCACCCCTGACCCTGGCACCAGGGCTGGGGGACCTGAGGAAGGGGCAGGGGACCTGAGGCCATGCCCCCAGCCCCGGCAGGGGTTGATGGGGACCTGAGACTGCGTCCCCTATCCCAGCACTGGTGCCTGGAGACCTGAGGCCACGCCCCTTGCACTGATGCCAGGGCCGGGGGACCTAAGGCCAGGCCGGGGGACCTGAGGCCACAACCCCTGCCCTACTGGGCTTGACGGGGGTGGGGCCAGCTGGGTCTGGGTCTCATGTGATTTCGAGGTGTGCACGGATGAGCGCAGACTTGACTCTGGGTCCCACGGCGCACCCCAGACTCTGACAGGAGGGAGATTTTCATAATCATTTTACTATTTTTCTTTCATCTCTGATAATTCTATGATAGAGAAAGGGCAAATAGCAATATTAAAATATTTCCTCCAATTAATTCCCTTTTAATGTGCATGAATTTTGTGCACCTGGGCCACTAGTCTATTCATATAAAAAGGCAGCTACCATAACAACCATAACGATCTAACAACTGGTCACTATGATGCCCGCTGTGGCCAGCAAACAGGCCTGATCAGGGGGTGGGACTGGTGGCCAAACTTGTGGCCACTCCCTCTGCTGGCCTGCCCCTTAACATGAGCAGGGCATGCCAGCCAAATGACCCCGCCCTTCCCCCCCAGCCAGCTGCACCCCTGATCAGCTTGCCCCACCATAATAGGCCCACAGCCCCTCCCCCTAGCTGGCCTGCCCCTGATAGCACCCCCTACCCCAATAGGGGATGGGGCTTGGCGGGCAACCTCCTGCAGCTCCTCCCCCTATCCAGCCCCACCCATGATTGCCCCTCCACCTCAATAGGGGGTGGGGCTGCCTGGCCAATGTCCTGTAGCCCCTCCCCCCTGCCAGCAATGCCCCCGATGGTCCCCCACCACCCTCATTGGCCCCCACCTGGCCAGCCCCCCAGCCTGATCACCACCCTACCTCAATAGGGGGTGGGGCTGTATGGCCAACCTCCTAAAGCCCCTACCCCAGTCCCAACCCTGATTGCCCTTCCCAATAAGGCATGGGGCTGGCCGGCCAATCTCCTGCAACCCCTCCTGCCACTCGGCCCCATCCCAAATCGCCCCCCCCCCCCCAAATCAGGGGCAGGGCCGGCCAGCCAACCACCTATGGCTCCTCCCCCTGGCCACTGTCCCTGATTGGCACCCCCCACCCCTCCCCATGCCTTCCCAGCCTCCAATAGGCCCCCCAATGAGAATCAGGGGAAGGGCCCACTGGCCAATTGCCCAAGGCCCCTTCACTCGGTTGGCCCAGCCCTGATTGGGGGCCCTGATGGGGCCCTGAAGCAGGTGGGCCAACCAGCAACCTCCTGCCATCTCCTCCTCCTGATAGGCCCAGCCCTGATTTGCCCTGATTGGGGCCAGGCCAGCTGGACCCCACCTGTGCACTAATTCGTGCACTGGGCCTCTAGTAAAAAATAATAGTGTGCACAGCTAGTGGGATTCAGTGGTTGGGCATGTACCCATCAACCAACATATTGCTGGTTCAATTCCAGGTCAAGGCAAATACCCAGGTTGGGGGCTCCATCCCAGTAGGGGAAATGCTGGAGGCATCTGGTCAATGATTCTCTCTCATCACTGATGTTTCTGCCTTGCCTTTCTCTCTAAAAAATCAATAAAAACATTTAAAAAATGAACAGTGTTAAGACTGAATTGACTCAATAACAAGAAAGTGATTGTGGGCCATCACGTTATCTTCCAAGTCTTGTAAGCACAATCATGCCTTGTTCTCTTTTATTTTTAAAATATATTTTTTATTGATTTCAGAGAGGAAGGGAGAGGGAGAAAGAGAGAAAGAGATAAAAACATCAATGATGAGAGAGAATCATTGATCAGCTGCCTCTTGCACGTCCCCTACTAGGGATTGAGCCCACAACCTGGGCATGTGCCCTTGAACAGAATCGAACCTGGGACCTTTCAGTCCACAGGCTGATGCTCTATCCACTGAGCCAAACTGGCTAGGGCTGCCATGTTCTGTCTTTATACAGGATGTCCCAGGGTGTGCAGGAGGCGGCTGGTTGATGTTTCTCTTTCATCGATGTTTCTAACTCTCTATCCCTCTCCCCTCCTCTCTGTAAAAAATCAATAAAATATATTTAAAAAATATATATATATATATTTTTGAATGTGTGTTTTAAATCAATTATACTTACATCAAAGTTTAAAAAATGATTAAAAGTTGCCACTTCCCAATTATTTTACTACTAGATGCCTGTTGCATGAAGAGATTCGTGCAATAGGCCTTCCCTTCCCTTGGCTGCTGGCACCGGTTTGCCTCTGGTACCCAGGACCCAGGCCTTTGCTCTGGCCAGGCTCCGGCTGGAAATGGCCCCGGAACCGTCAGGCTTTGCTGCTCTGGCCCCGGGGCCGTCAAGCCATTGTACTTCAGTTGGTTGGGCACCATCCCTTGCCCTCAAAGGTCACTGGTTCCAGTCCAGGTCAGGGCACATGCCCACCTGGATGCCCTGTAGGTGGTGCACAGGAGGCAGCAGTTCAATGTTTCTTTTGCTCTAACCTGTATATGGGTGACAGATACATTTATTTCACATGTAATGTTTTTAGAGCTATATCCATATGTCCAAGCTCACCAAATAGTACACATTAGAAAAACTGCATTTTGCTGCATTTCAGTTACAAATATACTTTTTTTTTTTTAGAACGAAGAATTCCACCTCCCTTTTCTTTTTTTTTTTCTTTTTTTTTAAATATATATTTTATTGCGTTTTTACAGAGAGGAAGGGAGAGAGATAGAGAGTTAGAAACATCGATGAGAGAGAAACATCGATCAGCTGCCTCCTGCACATCTCCTACTGGGGATGTGCCTGCAACCCAGGTACATGCCCTTGACCAGAATCAAACCTGGGACCTTTCAGTCTGCAGGCTGACGCTCTATCCACTGAGCCAAACCGGTTTCGGCTAAATATACTTAATAAAGCCTTAAGATGCACTTCCAAATAAAGGCCTGGATATCTGTCTTGTTGGGAAATTAAAATGGGAACTTTACATGGGTTCTACCATCTCTCTCCTAATCTCCTGGGAGGACCAGTCTTACCTCAGGGGAACAAATATTGGCAGTCAGTGTAGGCTTTTGCCATCAGAATCCCCAGGAATGATGACAGGTTACAAAAAATAAAACCTGGGACTGATTATAGGATTATCCTTCCTCAGCTCTGAGGTCTTGCCAGTTGAGGAAACCTTGAGGTGAATACCCTAGAATGGGCCAGAGGACTCCAAAAAACTGTTTATTTTCTCTGCCAATGACACAGTAATGGAGGCCCTAAGAATGTTGTAAGCAAACATCACAGAAGCCACAGACCGTTCATCATTTGTGGAAAAACGTTCAGAAGTGGCACTTTTCAACCAATTTACTGGTCTTTCCCGCTCACTATGAACACAGTGTTTCTGTTCTAATGTTAGTTCCA